GCGAGAGCAGGTCAGGTTGCGGGGACAAAAACCAGAGATAAATTCAATCTAGCTATCTCAAACCTGACCTCCAAGGTGAGCCACCTCTCCACTTTCCATCATTGTCCGATCCACTAAAGCTGTTTAGATAATCAAATCCGATAACGCACTGTAGAAAACACTGATGCTTTACCTCATAATTGTGTTGATCTTACATTAAACAACATAAGTATTCGAATACATTAATCCCAAACCGATGGAGCACCTCGGCAAGAATTTGTATTAGGTTTTGGTTCTTCGATAATGAACAAGAACGGGGGTTAAGCTGTATTGTATAGGATCATTGCCCTTCATGCAGGAAGTCACTTGTTGTCGTAATATACGGCTGTAAGATCCATTCATACGCTATTTGAGCTGCATGACTGCAAGAAGTGTTTACTCAACTGTGTATGCCCTTGATTTTGTTGCATGTTCTTGCTTTCCAAAAATGCTTGGAGAAAGAACTTAACACTTGAATTGTGGTGAATGTGAATGCAGGATCCTCCTATTGCTGTGTAGTGAAAAAGCTTGGAAATTCTCTCGAATTCAATCCGAGCAACCATTCGATTGGTGGCATTGCGTTTCGGGGATCAAGTTTTGTGTGAAAATTGCGTCTGTATTCTTTGATGTTCTTCATATCTTGTCTTGTGTCTGGTGCTTTGTGTTGTCTCCCCGTTGTGTCACTTTCCTTTCCTTCATGTGTGGGTTTGAATATCTGAAATCCTCAGGGACTCGTATCATTCCGATAAAGCTAGTGTGGGAATTATTAAAAGGCTTTCCGAATTAATTTAATCGTTTTTTTAATTTTTGGATATTTAAATTATTTCCAAGTTTTTAAAATCAGGCAACTCGATAATTTTTTGATTTATCCCCCCGCTAAATTTGTTAGATTTTAATGGGTGTGAAAGATATTCGTTATGTTAAAAGGATATAAAAAAGGATGTGACAATATCATACAATTTGTATCATAACGTAAATATAATAATGTAAAAAAAAATTTGCTTACGCATACTGTGTACTTGGGTCGAAATAAAGATGAAATTCTTTTGTTTATTTTATGATAAATATATATTGAGGGATAATTGCAAACCAATGTTTACGAATTGCTTAGAAACCATCTTTTACAATGGGAATAATAGTTTATAGGGGTGACCATTCGGTTATTAACAAAACCGACAATTTCTTTGGAAAATTGAATTTTTTACCAAAACCGAACCGAATCCGAACCGAACCGAAAAATAACCGAACCGAACCGGAATTTATATAAAAACCGAATGGTTATAGT